ATAGAGTCAGCTTTGATACCATTTGTTGAAATTTTAGAACTTGAAAAGCTGAATTCCTTTATTGTCAAGATTTTCCATGTCAAATCACCAAAAGTTATTAAATGCGGAACATATTTTAATTCTTTTGAATGATTCTTTATTACTAGATCTTTATTTTTGATTTTGAATCTTGAAACTTGAAATGCAATCTTTTCATCTTTGGCTTTTTCATTTTTAATGTCGAATTTTGTCTCCTTTTATTATTTAATTCTTGTTCTTAGTTTTGCATCTTGATCCATAGTCTTAATTTTTTTTAATTGCTTCTTTTTTATTCTTGATTGTGGGTATTGATTTTTTCTCTTCAATATGCTTTCTCTTGTATTATATTGATGGATTAATATAAAGAATGAAAAGTTGTATATGAATTGAGAATCATAACTAAGGATGGTAAAAATATCTGTCAAATTCGTTACCCACGAGGCCGACCCGGACAAGGTAGGGATTACTCGCTTAATTGGGAAATTGGGTCGGGTATGAGGCGGGGAATTCCACCCTGAGGCGTGTATGGGTAACAAGGTCCCCTAGCGCAGCCTCCGCACTATTTAATTTTTTCTTCTTTTTTTAAAAGAATTCAATATTTTAAATAGAAAAATTTCACAAAATTTCACTAATTCTAATAGAAAATAGCAACAAGAATTATTTAAGGAATATGATAAACAATAAAAAACTAAGTTTAGAATAATTTAACTTTCAAAAATTAATTAATTAATTAAAAATTGAATGACTATATTATTGTCTTACTTGAATGAATGGGAGCAATAAATTGAATTATAAAAACTATAAAAAAAAATTAAATGGGTATGTAAATGGGGCAATCATCTTGTCCAACCCGGCCTTAAACGGGTAACGTGCGGGTAAGAGACGGGAGCAAGGGAGCCTGGCCCTTGAAATCGTCCCGTTACCGACCCAAACCATAACCTATATATATATATACATATATATATATAAAGAATCTGATCTCTACAAATACAATTTAATTTTTTATTACATCACTTTATTTTTAAGCTTTACTCTGAGATAGTCTTAGACACAATTAATTACATATATAAATCCATATGAAAAAATAAAATTTTCCCAACTCGATTAACATATGATTTTTTGAATAGAAGTCCAATGATGACCGTCTATGTCCAATGTAGCGATTATAAATGACAATATTTTCGATGAAGTCAACAAACACCGACGGTGGCTTGGTACTAGGGAAAATCGTCTTTTCTTCATATATTTATTAAATTGTTTCATATTTAAGCAGAGTTAAGTTTAGGAAATGAAAGTGGGTGGATTAAAATGGGAAAACCCGTCCTCGTCCTCGTCCTCGTCGGGATTCCCCCATTCCATTCGTATTATGCAAGGGTGGGGCAAGGCATGACCAGGAAAGCCCCATTTATCACTTTTTGAGAGTTGGGTCCAATTGTAAAAATTGTTGGGCAACTGACAAAAGTACCCCTAAAATTAGATTTTTTTGAAAAATTATATGAAAAGTTTTTTGTAGGTAAAAAAATATTGTGTGATATTAAAAAGTGACAAAATTCCACTCTTTTTTTTTTAAAATAAAAATTGTCACTTTTTAATAGAATGCTGCTTTTAAAAGTTAAATGTTACTTCTTCTTCTACTTCTTTTCATTTTTTTTTTAATATTTATAATGACTTACAATCTCACTTTTATTAAAAATTAATATTTATCACTAAAAAGAAGAGATAGAAATCAAGAAGGTGACTGAATAAAAGTGACAAATATTTATAAAAAAAAA